TGTCGGGTTTTCCTCCAGAAAAAGCGGCTGCGAGCAGGGATTTTTCACAAAATCTACAACCTTGCAATTTATTTCTGACACCCATAAAATATGTAAGGAGGCACAACTCTTGGGCAGCTATGTTTCCATTTGTTAACCCCCCCCGAGTTCTTTTCCGCTGTTTTTCAACTGCCTAAGTAACAATTGTGATGTCAACTGGTTCACTGTCAACCGGTTCACTTACAAAAGGTCTGTAGTTTATATGGGCATCACCGTTGGCATATGTGTTTTTTCCCCAAATGTTTTGATACAAAGGAGTTACTAGATCTGATTTTGTAATTTATTAATCTATTTCTTTTTTAAGTGTGGTTTTGCTCCCTGGCAAATCTGCTTACCCAACAAAGAGGGTCTTTAATCCTCTTAGCTTCTTGTGTAAGGTGTGGGCTCCCCAATTTAATTCCACTAACTCAAGAAAGGCATTTTTGGATTATTATGGGTTGGAGGTGGTCCACTTTGTAGCAGTGTCCTTGTGAAGAATCATTTGCCATGCTCTGACCCAACCAAGCATAGTGAGTTAATATGTCAACCGCAGAAATGAAAACAATTCTTAAATGAGTGTACACATCCTTCATGGAACAAACAAGGACAATTGTGTGTGTGTTGACAATTGGTCCAAGGGGATCTGAGTCATGCCACTCTCCCCTACATGTATGTACTCTGTACCTTATCCAATGTTCGAAGTGCCTCCTCTGCAATAGATGTCCCTTTGATGATAGGGAAATGAGGTTTATCTTCCATGCTCAGCAAAACATGCACTTCATCTCTGTTATGGAAAATAAAAAATGATGAAAATATGTGAAAAAGAAAAAAAGAATGAATTAGTCACAGTTAAGAGGCATCAAAAGCTGTCAATTTTTGTAATGGTATAAAGATGACTAAAGAAAAAGGAGAATTAAAATAAAAATAAAAACATATGAGTACACACTTGTGTACAAAATCTTTTCACTGTTTGTTGATAAATGTATCAATTGGATGACAGGGTCGCAGTAAACAGGTAGCACCATAACAATCCTGGTAACTTACAATGTATGTATATAAATCATATATCATTACTTTCACTATCACTGTGTTCAATATAGCGATGCAATGGACGAAACTTAATGTATGAATCCATTTATTAAAGGGAAACATCACCCAAAACATGATGAACAAAATAAACATCAGGAATGTATATACTTACAATTTGTTTTACATCTGGCTTTGCCGTCAGTGTATAATGCATACATGTAAGGCAAATAATTTTCAGGCATTCAAAAACAGCTGAGAACAGGTTTCACATATAAATGAAACATACATATAGTAGTGATGAAACACAAATATACTAGTCCTACTCACTGCAAACGTTTGATGAGAATCACCCTGATGCACATGTGCTTATGTGGGTTGAGGACAGGTAAGACATTGGCGTGTCTCTTGATAGGGTCCCTCTGTAAGTAAGCCAAGGCGGTTTGGATCAAGTATACAGCGTCGTGGGCTCTGTATGTAATAAAAATTATGATAGATTTTTAAGTATTACGACTATTTGTCAACATAATACATGTACATGTTTAATGTAAACCAGTGATGACGTATTTGAGTCCATCACAAGTCCAGTCACAAGTCCCTTCAACGAAATCAAACCTTGACAAAAACTATATTTTCCTGTATGCACTATCTGCCATCAGGGCTAACATGAAATGGTCTGTTTTACCCCACAATATGTTCTGTTTTATGCCCAATAGGTTTTTATAAACAAAAAATACAGTCCACAAGATAAATCATCTATGTCAGCTTCAATTCTACCTTAAACAAGTTTGTACCTAAGTGAAACCCATGCAACATAACACTACTTTCCCCTGGTCTTTCCAAAGACCCAACGAAGATGATATCAGTCAAACTACCTCAACTGACATTACTGAAGCTCTTAATAATGCCACACTTGTGAATAGCAGCACTCATGTCATTTATTTGATATAAATAATGCAACAATGTCAATGCAGAGGGCAGTGTGCCATTTTTGAGATATTGGCCAGTTAATTTTTAAAATGACAAGCTGTTTGCAGTCCAAAGCAGTCAACTTGACACATCTGTCATGCATGTCAGTTTGGCATCTTTTATCTTCCCTGATACCATTCCTTTCAAGAGTCCAGTTAGTCACATGACCAACATATACAATAGTCTAACAAACATTACATCCTCCCAAAGCAAAGTGTCATAAAGTGTAATTTACCAAATATAAAGACTTCAAATTACTGATGTGCCGAGTGCCATACCAAAAATTGGCTTTCTTGTTGGTAAAGAACACTTAAAACTAACTTTGCCATTGGAGGATGCTACATGTATGTTTGTTGAAGTTTGATCAGTATGACTCAGTGGGTGCAATTGGTCTATGCTAGTGATGTACATGTACATGTATGTAACCTCTAAGGTTCCATTCAGGTTCTGTTGGGACAAAGTTTGATGTTCAGTTTTGTTATTTTTTCCTGAATTGGATTCCACCTCTGACGTAAGGCATTCACATCCACTTGACAAATGCACTTGATATCAAGTAAGTCCATTGAAGGAAGGTTCTCAGAGCCTACTATTGCCGAATCCTGTCCAAATGTTAAAAAGGCAATAAAAGCTTATTAGTTACCTGTCTTCTGTTAATATAATGTTAAGTCTTATCACTAATGCAGAAAAGTCTTGACAAGCATAGCTAAAACAAACAGGGTAACCAAAGCCAATACAAATGCTAGAAATTGTGGAGTTCCACAGTAACTGATCGGCCATAAGAAAGCTAAATCAGATCCCAAGTCAGTTTTAACAGTAGAAGTAATTTTCAGACCAGTCCCATAGGGTTTGTCCACAGTGTGTCAAGTGAACTTCTTATACATGTATAAAACTCTTTTTGAAATTGTAAGTGAATTGGTGACTGAAATTGGCTAAAAATTAATTGCAAATTCTACTTAATATTCTCTATAATATTAACTATTTCCTACGAACAACACTGCCGCATTCAAATCATCATGCCGTCCAGAGCTAAGAAGAAGAAGTAAGTGAAGAACAAAAAAAAATTGTTGAATTGCATTGAGATGGAGAAAGCATACTGCTGCTGCTGCTGTAACTATATCTCTGGCTTCATATGTGGTCAACAGGGAGCCTCACCCATTGTGTGAAAGACCTTCCAAACAAAGTAAGGCCAGACAGAAGAAAGCAAGAAACACTTGGTGAAATGTCCTTCACAGAAAAAAAAAAAACCCAATAAGCAGATGGCAGCAAGAAGATGAGCACCTCTTGAAATGCCCTGGACATCAGCCAGTTTGTAACAGCATTTCACCAACATTGCCAACATGCATAGCCCACTTGTATGTATGTATGAAAATATATAAAGTATGTATGCTTACAAGCAGAATTGTATGTGTCAATCTGGAGTAATGATTATTGGTTATCTCAAATATAACCTTATTGAGCGCGCTGCGATGGGCAGTGCTTTCATGCTACTTTGCACCATAAAGACCTGCGTTGACAGTGCATTATGCCTCAGTGTCACCTGCGCACAAGCCAGAGTCTCATGTAAACAGCACAAACTTGCTTGGTTGTGCTAGCGCCCTCTTGTGATCGAGCACGTAATCTTGTTTTTGCCACACTACACACTGCATTTGTTCTTTCTAGTGTTTTCCCTTTCAATGTTATGATTGAATGTTTTGTTCTTTGTTAAAACAGTCAGTTTAAGGTTTTAGGTTGTAGTTGTTTACATGTAGTTGTTATTCCGACTTTGAACCAATCGTACCTGTCCAGAATAAACCTGTCACAAAGTACGTAAATCTGTAGGATCGTCCTTTTATAATTGGTGCCTCCGTCTTCTGATGTACAAACCCACCACAGTATCCTGTCTGTATGTTTCATTCACATGGATTGGATGAGCAAGTTTACGTAACGTATCTAAGTAGACACGCTTAATCAATGACGTCAGAGGAGATGTTTATCTCATTTCAAGGCCTAGAGTGCGTTTGAGGTAGTCTAGTCAATGATGTCAATGTTATAAATAGGCACTCCAGGAAAAGCCCTTTCTAATGGTACCAAACTTCACACAAGTTCAATAGCCGAATCAGAGTGAAAAAACAAGAACAATTCTGAAAACACATCTTGCATGTGTTTCACTTCAGCTCGTGATATAAGGTTTGACTTTTCAAGGCCATTCCTTATTTAGCCCAGGTCACAAATGGGAACGTGTCTCCATTACACAACAGACTCTACAAGTAGCATGTTGAGATTCTACATGTATTTTGTGTGTGCAATTAGTAATTAATGTGTAGCATTTTCCTCAGACCAATTCAGTCATGTTTTAGATGCTGTAGTTAGATCAAGTCAATTTTCTAGCCGGTCAAGTTACTCCTTAGTCACATTAGTCCTCAGAGATACAGTGGAAATACATGTGATTCTTCTCAACAAAACATTTCTGTTCACTTGCAGTTCTACTGCAACATTCTCAATCACTATTGAATAATGTAATGGTTGACACATCATATGTCAAGTTATGTGTTAAACTGTATTCACCACAGCAAATTGGCAACATGATAGAAAAATACATGAATATGCAACTCCTGTGCTGCTCAGCTTTCTCAAAATCCAACCAGTTCACTTATTAGCACTCTAGGCAAAACAGCCTAATGCACACAGACATGAATATCCAAACCCCAATTTAATTACAGCCACAGCAATGTACATGTAATTAGTCCTTTAGATGTACCTCAATTTGATGTCCACTTGGCCCTGTATGTCCTCAATGGTTGTCCACTTTGCCTGTAATGATTCTTTATCTGCTTCCTCTAAAGTTTTGAGTCTTCCTCCTTTAAAAGAACAAACAAACTTCGTTTTATAAATACCTGTACCGTAAAAATGCCCAAAAGCAGACGCAAAGCTATGGTTGCGATAGGCATTCACATAACACTAGTCAGTTCAACAAAATTATTGCCTTTTAAAAGAATACTAGTGGTATATAATGCACTACAGGCATTCAACCCAATTAGCTCCCAAATGGAATCATTGTACCAAAATTTTTGTTCAGAAGTGTTTCAAATTCATTAAATGTGAATAAGTAAAGTTTAAATCTTGAAACAAACAAATCAGGCAAGACGTCATCGTATTTTATAACAAATGATGTCATCATGACATTACTGACAGTGTATAAGTTTAATGGGGGTCTTTCATTTGTCCATGCCACTTTTGGTTATAAGAGATGTTCAGTGTGTAAGTTTTGTAATGCATGTAAAATTCCTTCCAGAAAATGTATACAAGGTCTACAGAGAATGTCAAAATTTTAACCCCTTCACGACGGGAACTTTGTTCTGAAAGCCGACTCCGAGAATTCCAGCCTCACTTGGCCAAGAAACTCACCTGCCAAACCACAAATTCTCGGTTTGTGGCCCTACGTGCTCTGCACGCTTTGAATTATACAGTGAAAAGACTCATTTTTCGGTGGCATGCGGCTCTACTCACGCTTCCACATTCCCGTTGCCTCTTTTCAAAGTGGGGACTATTGTGAAGCTGGTGATTATGATGCAAATTCAGTCATTTCATTTCTGGGCTACACACAAAGGCCAATCACCATATATACAAGAGCCAGGGTCTGCCTTCTTTCACCGTGTTGGCTCAAGCGTGGGCCGAGAATAATAGCTGAAAAGTGGGCTGAGGTTCTCAATTTTTACAGCGGCTTTTACTGTCATCCGTCGGTTAAGCTTCCGTAATTAGGACACTGTACATGTAGGTTGTGAACATCGATGTTTCCCTCAACCTCAAGGGCTAGTCTATACAAATTTGAACTCACTTCTGTGAGATTATTTACATGAGTTTTTACTGCATAGTATTTGGATCACTAGAGATATTAACAAGGAATAAATGATGGCATTTTATCAAAGCTGTCAAAAAACCCATAAATTACATGCAGGCTCAAAACATGTTTGAATTTTCAAGTCATCACATACCGCATATTTAAGATGCCAAATATCCCAAGTACTTTAATGATAAATTACAGGTAAAACAAAACATTGACAGATACATGTTCCTGCAATGACAGACCTGGCAGACCACTGTTACATATAGTACTATTCAATGCTACAATAATGAACACCACTTTATTGTAAACAATTAGGTATATCAAACTTGCCCCATGTACTTGTTACCAGGTTAGGAGAACTACCTGGTACCGGTACTGAGTGCTGAAATAAAGACATTATGGGGACAAAACCGTTACGGGGGACAAACTGCTGTCCCACACTGAGGTTCTGACTTCTCTAACAAATGAAATTGTCTTCAAAAACCTGGGAAGGCCTATAGGCTGTACCCAGATGTACACATGCATGTGTGTGTACATGCCGAGGTGGGCTATTACCATTTTGAAGAAGCAAAATTTGTTACAAATTTTGGGACTAAGGTTGCAATCATTGTCTAGAGCTGGGTCTAGGTCTTCAGTCCATTGGAAATATGTGACGATATGCTGAAAATACATGTAGATATATTACTGTATGTGTTGGTCTTAAGCCTGTTTTCGACATGGCCTGACTTCTGGGGATGCAACTTTAACATAATGAATAATTCCAGATCAGCAATGCATTGCTGCTTGGATGCAGAGTAATCCAAAGCAAGCATTTGCTCATCTTTCTCAGCAGTATACTGTATGTGATACTTACCTGCAGATAAGCATCTATGTCTGTGCACATTAATTACGCAAAAGAATCTCCTCTCGACCTCCTAATATTGATCAATCAGCAGCCATGTGTTATATTTTATGCTACCTAGACTGGTAAGGCTTATGCAAGTGTACTGTACAGTTCAGTTAGAGTTGGTCCATCATTGTGTGCATCTGTATTTGCCACACAACTGTACATGTAGATCCCGGCGGGGTCTCCAAAACTTAAGAAAAGCATATCTCCCTTATTCACAGACACACTTTCTGTGGAGGTCAGCTATATCTTAACCTGGTCAGCCATGGTCAGCACTTGACTTACATGTACAGGTACATGTACATCCAGTACGGTCATATTTGGATGAGATTTGAAGCTTTTCATGGTGGAAATACATGTACATGTAGCAAGTAAACTAGATGGGTTTGTGGTAGCACCGTGGAAATACATGTACATGTA